GCCTGCTTGTAACCACCACCCGGAAGCGACACGAAAATGTGGGTGGGACAGGAAGTGCCTGCAGATAAGTGGTCCGGCGGGAATCTCGCCGTGAATTTAACCCTCCACTTCACACATTGTGATAGTGTATGCTTAAAATTGTTCAGCATTATTTTCTGACACATTTTGGACCATTTTATTGCCAAAAAAACCCAAAAACGTTATATTTCAGACACCCGTTTCCGAGATATAATAATAATAATAATAATAATAATAATAATAATAATAATAATAATAATAATAATAATGGATTGGATTTATATAGCGCTTTTCAAGGCACCCAAAGCGCTTTACAATGCCACTATTCATTCACTCTCACATTCACACACTGGTGATCCACAACTTGCCCCTAGGCAACTAGGCTTGTATAAAACAGAGGCAATTACTAACTCATAGATCATTACACAATTGTTGGAAAGCAATAAAAACATAAGAAAATCGTCCAAAAATGTCAACCAATTTTGATCAAAGAATTGAAAAAACACATTTAGATTATTTAGCTTTATGGCTTGATACAGGCTTAAGTTCGAATTGTCCAATATAATGTCATATTGATTCTCATGTTGTGAGACTTTGCTGTCATTCTGTGTGAAACTTAATAAAAACAGTTCTTTTGTGCTGTAAAACAGAGCCGCACATTACACTTTATAGACATTACCTCTGTTTTTTCTGTGCACCCGGGAACCCTGCATCTTGCCTTGTTCCATTCAATTCAATATTGTAATGCAATTAACCTATAACAATGCAGAGAAAACCCTGACAATTAGACGAGCCCCTATAAGCAAGAACATGGCTACAGTAGAAAAGGTAAACTCCATTTTAACAGAAAGAAAGCTCCGACAGAACTAGACTCAAGGATGGGCGCTGTGGGTCTCTGCTTCCTTGTTTTCGCTTCATGCTTTTGAGATATCCCACACTGGATTTGCACAGACTTTGAGCAATTTTGCATTTAAAACCACATTTTCATTTTCAGGTGTCCCTACACCTGGAAGCTCAGACAGATGGACACACTTTCCAATGTAAACTTAGGATTGTAAAAATAATAATCTGATATCATTATTATTACTTGGTGCTACATGAAATAATATTATTATGAAAAAACACACAGTTATCAAAGTCTTCCACAAAAGTACCCCTTATCGCACAAAGAAAAACTGAATTTCTGATCAGGCAAAGTAAAAAAAAGCAAAATTAAAAACAAAAACGCTCTCCACATCTTCTTACACTCACACGTATTTTTGATTTACAGTTTATGTCATTTTAAATATGATTACTAGAGGAAATATTCTTACCTTCTTCTCACATCATGCGATCGTGTCACTGTGTCAGAAAAGGATGCCCGATGTTCAAATCACGCTTCATAGTGATTCCCACATCTTATTGAACTGAAATTAGATACCTTTCCAAACATTCTGATTGATCATTTAAGTTCACATGTACTGGGCCTGAGGCTTAAAAATGTTCTGTGTTGTGCTGTAGAGGATTAATGTACAAAACAGACTACCATGACAACTCATGTGAAAATCATGTGGACACTTTATGTCAGATACAATTTTGTGATTATTATTGTTACAACACTCATTACATTACTTTTTCATTATTCCACAAAATGTCCTGAAATGTATTGTCTTATAATTACAGTTAACCCCTCTGAGGTAGTGTTAGAGCATGGTTCTTAAGCCCAGGTCCTCTGCCAGAGGCCTGGAAGTTTGAGGGTTCTGCACGGTATCTTTGCTGTTCCTAGGTCTGCAGTTTTCTGAACAGACACCTCTGTCTCTGACCTCTGTGACTGTGGAATCTTTAGAGCCAATCTTACAGCTTGGCAGTTGCAGCTCTTAATGCTTCTATTGCCACCGAGACCAGTTGTTCTTCTAGCCACTGTTACTTTTCCTGTGCTCCATCCTGATGTTGCTTTCAGCTGGGATTGCCACACATGTCACAGCTGTGATCTTCTGTTCCTTCCAAAGCACCACTATATCTAGTTGGTTGGCCAGCAGCTGCTTTTCTTAGCCCTGTGTTCTCAACCACCTTTGGTGGTAATGATAATTGGAGACTTCTAATCTATATAATAATAATGGATTGCATTTACAGTGGCTTGCAAAGGTATTTGGCCCCCTTGAACTTCTCCACATTTTGTCACATTACAGCCACAAACATGAATCAGTTTTATTGGAATTCCACATGAAAGACCAACACAAAGTGGTGCACACGTGAGAAGTGGAACGAAAATCATACATGATTCCAAACATTTTTTACAAATAAATAATTGCAAAGTGGGGTGTGCGTAATTATTCAGCCCCCTGAGTCAATACCTTGTAGAACCACCTTTTGCTGCAATTACAGCTGCCGGTCTTTTAGGGTCTGTCTCTACCAGCTTTGCACATCTACAGACTGAAATCTTTGCCCATTCTTCTTTGCAAAACAGCTCCAGCTCAGTCAGATTAGGTGGACAGCGTTTTTGAACAGCAGTTTTCAGATCTTGCCACAGATTCTCGATTGGATTTAGATCTGGACTTTGACTGGGCCATTCTAACACATGGATATGTTTTGTTTTAAACCATTCCATTGTTGCCCTGGCTTTATGTTTAGGGTTGTTGTCCTGCTGGAAGGTGAACCTCCGCCGCAGCCTCAAGTCTTTTGCAGACTCCAAGAGGTTTTCTTCCAAGATTGCCCTGTATTTGGCTCCATCCATCTTCCCATCAACTCTGACCAGCTTCCCTGTCCCTGCTGAAGAGAAGCGCCCCCAGAGCATGATGCAGCCACCACCATATTTGACAGTGGGGATGGTGTGTTCAGAGTGATGTGCAGTGTTAGTTTTCCACCACACATAGCGTTTTGCATTTTGGCCAAAAGGTTCCATTTTGGTCTCATCTGACCAGAGCACCTTCTTCCACATGTTTGCTGTATCCCCCACATGGCTTGTGGCAAACTGCAAACGGGACTTCTTATGGTTTTCTGTTAACAGTGGCTTTCTTCTTGCCACTCTTCCATAAAGGCCAACTTTGTGCAGTGCACGACTAATAGTTGTCCTATGGACAGATTCCCCCACCTGAGCTGTAGATCTCTGCAGCTCGTCCAGAGTCACCATGGGCCTCTTGGCTGCATTTCTGATCAGCGCTCTCCTTGTTCGGCCTTTGAGTTTAGGTTTGCAGTTGTGCCATACTCCTTCCATTTCTGAATGATTGCTTGAACAGTGCTCCGTGGGATGTTCAAGGCTTGGGAAATCTTTTTGTAGCCTAAGCCTGCTTTAAATTTCTCAATAACTTTATCCCTGACCTGTCTGGTGTGTTCTTTGGACTTCATGGTGTTGTTGCTCCCAATATTCTCTTAGACAACCTCTAAGGCCGTCACAGAGCAGCTGTATTTGTACTGACATTAGATGCACACAGGTGCACTCTAGTCATTAGCACTCATCAGGCAACATCTATGGGCAACTGACTGCACTCAGACCAAAGGGGGCTGAATAATTATGCACACCCCACTTTTCAGTTATTTATTTGTAAAAATTTTTTGGAATCATGTATTTTCGTTCCACTTCTCACGTGTGCACCACTTTGTGTTGGTCTTTCATGTGGAATTCCAATAAAACTGATTCATGTTTGTGGCTGTAATGTGACAAAATGTGGGAAAGTTCAAGGGGGCCGAATACTTTTGCAAGCCACTGTATATAGCACTTTTCTAGGCACCCAAAGCGCTTCACAATTCCACTATTCATTCACGCACTAGTGCAGGCAAACCACAGTTGTAGCCACAGCTGCCCTGGGGCAGACTGTCAGAAGCGAGGCTGCCATATCGTGCCATCGGCCTCTCTGACCAACACCAGTAGGGTAAAGCGTCTTGCCCAAGCTTTCTTTTTCCTTTTGAACTACATGTTTTGTCTCTCTTTAGACCTCTACAAGTTATTTAAAGCACAATCAAAATAACACAGTTCACTGTCATGAATATGCTGCTACAGAATAAAAAATATTCCAGACTTAGCTATCCAACAAACAGGAGGGTCTAAGACTGGGCTGTAGACATGCAAAGCAAACATTTAAAGCCTGCTTCAGTGTGATATTCAGCACACTGACTTCGTGTTTAATCTTTAATTCAATTTGATGAGCCAAAATATCAGAGCAGTCACTGCTGATGTACCTTTAGAGACAATGTATAGATGATGTCCAGCTTGAGCGGACTGCTAACATCCTACAAGATGATCTGTAATCTATTATTCTGCTCCAGTGATATTTACACAGATGGATGAGTTAATCAACATGTAAAACACTAACAACACAGTAATTTAACAGAAGCTCACACTGGATGCAGTCCTCATCCTGTGCCAGTGGTTTCATCTAACAAAAAAAAAAATCTGTCTTCAAGATCCTTCTTCCAGATTCTTCCACTTTTGTAACTTCCCTTTCTGTACCTCATTCAAATTTCTTTAGCCATCCTCTTTTCTGTAATTCATATGTTACACTTTTTTGCTCTCTGCTTCTGTGCTTTTAAAGATTACAAATGGTTTTCTTGATAAGCCAAAACATAAATCCATAAATCCTCCATGTAGTGGCATCAGTGGGAAACATGTTTCAGGACCATCCCCACAGACAGAGCGGCCAGGAAAGCAGAAGAACACCATGTCAAAAAGGCCCTGAGTAAATGTGGTTATTCCAGCTGGCCATTTGTCAAAGCTGGGGAGAGAAAGCTCCAGGCAATCCAGGAGAGGAGGAGGACAACGTAGGCAAAAACCCTTAGTGATCTTATGTGTCATGAGTATTGGAACAGCTGACATACATTTTCTCAAAATACTGCCTATCTGTGGCTTTCAAACCCCAAAACACGTTGTGCCAAAAATTGGTCCGCAGCAAAGATCCGCTCCCCTGGCACAAACACAGTAATATAGTGCCAGGAAGATTGCCGTGAATTATACATCAGAGAAACCAAACAGAGCACCAAAAAACAAAACAAAAAAATACACACAGTGAACTAATTTAAGGCTCTTTTTATTTTAAATGACAACAGTTATGTTGGAGCAACGAAGTGATTTTCCCCCAATAGCTCAAGGACTCAATAAATCCACCTTCTCTGAGTGTGTGCGCATGTGTCTCTTCAGCCTCGTAGACGTACAGAAGCCCTTCTTACAGAATGCGCAGCTGTGTGGCTTCTCGCCGGTGTGAGTCCGTACGTGTATGTTGAGGTCTGATGAGCACCTGAACCTCCTCTCACAGTAAGAGCAAGGGTACGGCCTCTCTCCGGTGTGTGTGCGTTTGTGCAGGAGCAGCTCCCCAGAGGTCAGGAAGGTTTTCCCACACTGGGAGCATGAGTGTGGTCGCTCCCCCGTGTGAGTCAGGTTATGTCGGACGAGCGAGGTGGACTTGGAGAACCTCTTTCCGCAGCGGCCGCATTCGAACGGGTGCTCGCCTATGTGGCTGTGGAAGTGTTCACTCTGAGCGCGCTTGGTTTTAAAGCTCTTCGGGCACTGAGGACAGCTGAAGGGCCGGAAGTTGCTGTGGATGCGCTGGTGCCTCACAAGCTCTCCGTGAGTGAGAAAGGACTTCTGGCAGGTGGTGCAGAGGTATGGCCGCTCCCCTGTGTGGATTCTCTCGTGGCGTGTGAGGCTGGCCAGCTGGGTGAAGCTCTTCTCACAGTATGAGCACTGGAAAGGCCGCTGGCCATTGTGAGTCAGGAGGTGCCTGTTAAGGATCTGAAGCTGCGTGAAGCTCTTTCCGCACTCTGCACAGGGGTGGGGACGCTCTCTGCTGTGGGTCTGCTGGTGCTTATTCAGAAGCCACATGTGGGTGAAGCTTTTCCCGCACTCGCATGGAAATGGCCGCTCACCTGTGTGCTTCATCTGGTGTCTCTTCAGGTCCGAGGCTCGGCCGTAGATCTTCTCACACATGGGACATTTGTACTGACGCCTTACGATGTGCCTCTGCCTGTGCCTCAGTCGATCCAGGATGCTGCTAAAGCTCTCACCACATTTCTGGCATTTATACTGACCGCCCCCCTTCTCTGACACCACCTCTGTCACCACCACCTCTGTTGTTAGGTCTAGCTGAGGGTTGCAGGTCTGGCCACAAGCTGTTCGCTCAGAATGCAGTTTGAGCAGCCCCATCTGAGTGAACCGTTTGCCACAATGAGAGCAAAGGAAGGGGCGCTCTCCAGTGTGGATGCGCTGATGTCTGGTCAGATCCCAAGAATTCTTGAAGCCCTTCCGACACTCCTCACAGGTGTACGGGCGCTCGCCCGTGTGGGTCCGCTGGTGACGAGTCACGTCCGAGACCCGCGTGAACGTTTTGCCGCACTCCTGGCATGTGTGTGGGTCGGGCCTGTCGTGGATGGGGAAGGGCTTTGGGAACTCAGGAGGGAACGTCTTCTTGGGGGTCTCACATGTCTGTGCAGCCCTCTGGAGTTTGACGTATTGTTCAGGATGGCTGTGCTCAATGTGCTGCAGCAGGTAGGACTCTTGCATGTGGAAGAAGGGACACTCTGAGCAGGCAAAGACCTGGGTGGACATCTCCACTGTCGTGCCTACAAAGAAACACAAAAGTTAAAATGTGCAACAAAAAAAGAGAGAAAAACTCACCTTAAAGTGTAGATGCCTCATCTAAAACTTTAAATGACAGTTATTAAAAGTGAGACAGCAAACCTTGAACAGCTTTAAAGTGAATAACTGATTTACCTTGGGTGCTGAGGTGCTCAAGGCATTTGTGGTGTTGCAGGAGAGACTTGAGGTCACTGGGATTGGAGAACACCTGCAAGCAGTCCTTCAGCACAGAGGGGGCAGAGGTAAGCCAGGAAACAGTCTGTTTGATTATGAAAAAAAAAGATTCAGTCTGAAGAAGTTTAAATTCCAAAAGACAACTGTTTTGAAGAGAAGGAGGGGGAATGGTGATTAAATATGAGACGTGACCAAATAGTCTCGGGAACCAGCTCACTAAAATAAAATAACTTTATCTGATTGAAATTTGCCCAATCTCACCTTCTCATGTATCACTGGACTGCTTTCACTCTGGCTGTTGGTTTTTTACCTGGCTTCTTGGGAAACCTGTTCTGTCCCTGTTTACTTACAGACTGGATCTTTGTTGAAGGATCACAGTGTGTTAAAACAGTAATCCTTCAATGTGATATTCATTCAGGTGAGTCAGTGAAGTCTTGGGGAGTACTGAGTGAAGACACAGTCCTACTAACAATCAGCCAACTGCAACTAAATGCAACACTTTTACAGCAGAGCTGTGCACTGACAGTTTTCACCCTGTGGGTACAAATTCAAACGTGTAAAATCCAGTGAATGCTGGTGAAAATCAGGGAGGTTCCTGGTAATTAATTTCTTAATCGACCAAACAATGAAAAAAAATACTTGATTAACTGCTGAGTAGTTGAAAACTAAGAAGAAAAAACAAACACTGAAAAGGCTAAAGATAGGAAAAATGTATGTATATCTTTAATACTACATGCACAAACTACTAATACTGTTACTCATCTTCAGTACCTTTGGTGACTGCTGCCCAACCATTCAACAGTGTTTGATGTATAGAACAGTATTTTATAATAATAATGAATCTTATATGGCCAATATTACGCTTTCACGTAGGCCTACCTGACCGAGGTCTGGCACCGGCAGAAGTCTTTCTAATTTGGAGAGAAACTCCCACACAAGCAGCTGCATGTCTGCATCATAGCTGAGGCCATATTCTGTGGGGAAAACCTCCTGAGAAGAACAAACATTAACAGCTAGTAATACAAAAAAAAGTTAAAAGGAAGAAGACAAGAAATACATGGATTGGCTACATCTAAGAGCATTTGCCTGGTAAAAATGTTCCCTCTCTGCTGGGTCTTTCAGGAGTGTTTGGGTTAGCTCCACAAAGATGGCCTCTTCTGCATCCACCTCTGCATCCCCACTCTGAAAGAAATCATTACAACTGAGATCTTCGTCACTATCAGACCAACAATAATGATAAAGGATGAAAAATGATCTTGGAAAGCTAACATTTATATTTGATCATCCACTGCATATTTAATGGGTGATTAGAATCATTATTCTATTTTAGAAGCCATTCTCCCTCTCTACAGAATATGCAGATTAAACTAATCCATACCTCTCACAACCAGTAAAACGTTCCACATGACACTAACAGCAACACAAGCCCTGAATGTGATCAATCCACCGCAGCTACATTACTGGTAATACTGATAAAATATGTTGTCTCTGGACGCAGCTTTGCTCATTGCATTCAGAAAGCTCTATTTTAACTCTACCAACAGACTACGCCTGTTTCCAAAATGCATCGCCTTTCACAGTTTGTTATCAGACTTCTGATGCTGGATTTAGAGGTGAGTTCAGATGAAATGTTTCCTCTGCAAGGTCTTCACTCACTGAACTTTTAACAGTAACACAACTTTGGACCTGGACTTTGGACTTGTTCAAAATGGTGCTAACACTTACTCCTGTGTATCCCGGTGGGTGGATTCGCTCTAGGTGAGGCTGTACACACAGGATGTTGGCTGTTTCCTCATTTCTGCACAGCTCAAGTATAACCTGAAGCAACAGGAAGGTATTCATTCAGCTACTGTCACTGGATTACCCACTTGTGGAGTGGAATGCATTTCTGTGCACCTACTGACTCACTCTGGCTCGCAGCCGAAGCAGCAGTTTTCCTCGTTGCTTCGGATTGAGCAGGTCCGGAACTGATGCTGTGACCAGTGTCACAAATTCATCAAGCTTTTCATAGTCGAGAACATCCCTCCGTTGAGCCACCTGCCACATGGCTGCAGAAATCAGCCGCATAGGAGGGATCAGCAGTCTTAGGGATGACAACGGCAGGAATATATCTGATTAAACACACACAGTGGACAGAGTTATGTCTTTTTTGGAAAGTCAGATGTCCTCTTGTGACAGCTCGGCAAACCATCTTTATAATTTAGCACCAAGAGACAAAGTTACAAGAAAATCATCTGTGAACCCGCTGGTGCACAGGTGCTGCTAAGCTACTGTGGGTATAGATGAAGTCTAGTCTTCTCAAGACGTTGTGAGCCACGTAAGCCTCAACAAAATATTTCACAGGAACTTAGAGAAACATCAGAGAGATGCATGGTGGGAAAAATGGGTGTTTTTCAGGGTGCTGCCTAGATTAAAACACTGCTCTCCAAAGCAGCACTGTAACACATGTCGGGATTGCAAAAAATAATATAAAACATCCAACCTGTTTTTCGAGATAAAAGTTGAACTTGTTGGCAAAACAGTCCAATAACCTTTTGAGAGTACAAAAGTACTGTTTCTATAATTGGGACTCAGGTGAATTTATGGCCACATATTACAAGCAATCGATTAAAAATTCCCAGTTATTTCAAAATATTTACAAACATTTCCAAGATAGCTTAATGTTGCCATTTATTGAAAGTATATTTAATTACTCACACAATATATCAGAAATAGAAATTTAGTCATGTTGAACAGTATTTGAATATAGCCCAGTTAAATTAGCTAAAAACAGATTAACTAACTTAAAATCATAACACTAAGAACAAATTTACTTAAAAACAACACGAATACAGTGAACATATTGTATGAACCTAAGTATTAACGGTTAACCCATTAAGTTTTCCATGTTTACATTAGCATAGCTAACTAGAATCACTGCATTTAGCCGCGGCGAGGAGCTAACGCGCACACACATGGGCGGCCTGGCTCGCGGTACCAATGAACGCTGCTGTGACACGGACCTGTGCTCTCCACTGGACCGCTTTCCATAACGCAAACTACACGAATTCCTTTAAAAAAAGTCACTAGAAAGCTGCAACCAGCAATTAATTTGCTATTAGCCCTAACACAAAGCGGAAACACGTGGGCCAATGTGTGATTTCCAAAATAAAAGCATTAACAAGTGCCCAAAAGTGTAAAAAAAAAAAAAAAAAAAAAAAAAGGTTAATTCAAAACATTTAAGTCATTAGCTAAACAGTTGCGCTTTATGGGTCTCAAAAGTGCAGTCACTGCCAGTGGTATAAGAACCTAACACTGAACTCAGATCCTAATAACAGATGTGATGCTGATAAATGAGAAGTTCATCCAACAGATAACAGAATGTTGTAATTTACCAAGTAGACAAAAAACTTTATTTGCAGTGTTTTCCATGTGCAAATTTCCATGACTTTGGCATTCTAGTATTTCTCCCAACACAGCATTGTTCTTTCACGAGTGAAGGTGGACGCTAATCTTCTGGTGTTCATATGGGTCCCACACCAATTGATCGCATAGCTTGATATGACAATACATTCATTTGGAGATGTCAGATTTATTTACAGGTGATGATCAGGAAAACATGGAAACAAAACCAAAACACTAGGAAGAAGCCAGAAAATTAAACATTATTAATAAAACATGGGTTAATAAAACTACTACTACTAGTAACAACACTTAAAGTGTCTTAGTAACTTTCTGGTCAAAGCATTTTGTAAGTCCTGATGACATCATTGTGACTTTTCAACAATACAGCACTTCAAATGTTTCTCGCCCCCACAGAAAAACTGATTCCACGCATTAAAGAGGATAGTCCAGTCACAGCAGCTCTGTAGTTCAGATGTTTGTTATGCAGCCAAATGATGTACGACAATCACATGGTGTTGGATTCAAAGCAGGGTTAGCATTTCCAAGGGCAGGGCAGGGCGAGCACTCTGCATCTTCAAGCTCCAAAGTCCTGGAACCAACCTTTAACAAAGAGAAGTACTTTGAAAACAAAGTTCTAACACAGGGAACACAAATGCATAATCACAAATACTACATATATACATCTATACATTCTAATCAACAACATTTCCAGCATCTCAAACTGGAGAATTAGCTGTTCGTGTCTCAGTGTAGCAGTAATAGAAATAGATTTTGGATAAGGAGGGCTGATTGGACAAAACGAGGAGCCGATAACAGAAGAAAATTAGTAACGGGGAAAAGTCACTGCGCTTCTACACCGGATATCTCGTATCATGCACTTCGAAAAGCACATAAAAGCATGACGTTAATTGCAATTAATTATTGCATCAAAATTAGCGAAGATAGGCACATGACTTTTCTAGAGCGATAACGGCCCACCCTACACAGGAAGTGTAGAGTGTAAATTCTTAAAAATAGTACAATTTACATTGTAAATTGAAGACCTTTCAGGCAAACGTTGCATAGCTAATACTAGATCCAAGGAAGTGATCTTGAATCTTGATACCAGCTGGCTAACCACTGAATATGAGCTCTCAGAATGGTATTTATGATACAGCTGCATCAATACTAACTTTAAAACTGTTTATTTCAAATTAGCGCTATTTAAATCCCATTTTTATATCAGGCTCGGCAGCTGTGGGACAAAAAAAGTTAGATAACATCCGTAGCCACCCACTTTTAGCTGGAAACTTCCACGCGCACTCATTCTTACCTTTTAAGGGACTAAGAAATACACGACGAGGAATAACACGAAATCAAAGACCACGAAAGCCCAGAAGTCAAACCAGTAGGAATGTTTCGGTAAAGATATCGGAGCTCCTTTAGATTTAAAGGTTTTAAGATCTTCCTCTGACTCCGTTACAGGAGTCGTGCCGGGTGCCATGTTTGCTATGGCTTCAGTCTCGCGCTCCTGGAAGAGAACACGATAATCCTTCAAAATAAAATCACACCTTTGCAACAACGATTGGTTACTGAATATTATCACCTCATTTCGTCTACTCCTGCGTGTATAGATCTGTTTCCCCCCCTTTGAACAATGTATTTCATATAGCAAGCGCTAGATGCTAAAAAAAAAAAAAAAAAAAATCACAAACATTTTAGGATTAGGCCACCTCATGTGACTGGTCGGGTGACATGAATTGTATAATATATAGTCTGTGACATGGTATTTTCACCTAGTTTTACTGCACTCTTACAGCTAATATTTGTGACATTCAATCAATTATATTTTCAATGGACAGCACCTAATTATAAGCATGTTACTTCTCTGGCCTTCTTTGACACACCAGAAACTGAAAAATCCTTCTCAGTTTCAGGGTGGCTGTAGCTCAGGAGGTGGAGCAGGTCACCTACTGATTGGAAGGCTGGTGGTTCGATCATTGGCTCCTCCAGTCTGCATGTCAAGTATCCTTGGGCAAAATACTAACCCCAAGTTGCTCTCCAATTCATCCATCGGAGTGTGAATGTAGTAGCACTAAGTACAGTGAAAGTGGTTGTGTAAATGGGTGAATGTGGCATGTTGTATAGAGCGCCGTCAGTACTCTGGGACAGTAGAAAAGTGCTATATAAGAATCATTCCATAGTTGTCATCTTATAATCTTGTTAGGTGCATCTTTTGTATTGGACTGTAAAAACTCTTCCTACAAACCAAACTCCAGACTGCATCCAAAGCATATAACATACACACAATTGATATCATCAGCAGAACGTCCTGCATGTAAAACTCTTTAGAGTTAATGCCACATCTAGCACCATCTTTGTTGGAATTAGTATATACTGATCTGATTCTAAGTAAAATGTGTTTCATATTCCTTACTTTCACTTGAACATGTTTTTTTTATTTATATTTTTCTTTTAATTCTTATCATTCTAAGAGACATGAATAAAATAAAATGAACACAAAAGACCGTTTTTGCCTGTGTGACACCAAATACCATTTATTAGGGCTTTACAAAGACTACAAAATCCTCCAGATGAGGTAAATCACTGTCTCTGTCTATTTACATGATATGTTACATACAAATGTACAAAATATAAAACATTTAAGGACAAATGTTTCACCCAAAAAGAAGAAAACGTTCTCTCAAACCAGAGTAAATGCTATGGTTTTCAACTGAGATGTAACTGCAAAGTGTTAAGTGGGGAAAATGTCACCATGGTGCACACTGTTAACAGGAGTGTAGATAGGTTTGATATGCGGGTGTAAGTCTAGGTAAGGAGCAACCACCCCTTTAGCATGCAACTACACCCCTTTGCCAAAAGAATGTGCGGACCATCAACAACTTGGCTGCGGAGACACGCGTGAAGCTGAACACAGGTAGGATTGTAGAGGATAGAATTGTCCTGAGGTTGTGACAACATGACTTCTTGGTCTCTGGTGAGCTCTGACCAGTAGCACCTGTTGGTTGTTGGTAAATGTTTACAGTACGGTGTCAGATCAGCTTCGGTGCCTCGGCCAACTAGCAAGCCTAACATGGCGGTAAGCTTCAGTTAAAATGTCCAGAGGGGAAGTGTTTCTAATGAACAACTGGGATTCCTAAGATCCAGAAATATTATGGCAGGATGAGGAATACTGGAGTAAGTGCCTATTTTTTTTTCTTCTCCTTTTGTGATTTTAGTGAGTTAAAAAAAAAGCTGTTTCTTACTGTACACTGTATGCCTCCTGCATAGGCACAACATCCAATCACCACAAGACACACACCTGTTTCTGACAGCGTGGTAAATTTTGCATTTCTTTTTTTTTCTCTCTGTTTTCAAAGTACAATAATTTATTCGGCGGGTTAAGCATATTGGAACATCGACAGGGCAGAATGCATCTTTGATTCACTGTGCAAGACTTAAGTATTTACAACCCAACCCAACCTCAAAGTGTGCAAAACCAACCCACTCGATAAACAAAGAGAGGACAATCAAAAATCTAAATGGCTTCCGTCCAATACACGCATACATAAAGGTAAAGGTCTCCTCATAATGCATCCCCTTTAAAAAGGTTCAAGACATGCTCATCAGGCAAGAACACCTGAAACAGTTTGGTTGTGCTCCTATCAGTTCAAGTGAGCCCAGCTCAACTGGGCACAAAACAACAACTTAAAAAAATATCCCAACCCCTCTATTATATACTTTTTTAAATGTTCATACAATATTGGTCAAATTCAAATACACTATTCACTCTTTTATAATCTAACTGTCAGAAAGGAGAAAGGGTGCTTTAGAGGGAAAGGGAGGGAAAACAAACAAAAGTGGCTGTTTGTCCCACTGCAAGCAGCATCTTTGACATAGCAGGAAGCATATCAATACTATCTCGTCTTCTCACCAGAAGATGCTTGAAAAAAACTTTTGAACATTTAAGGCAGTGGAGAAAGCACCAATATCATTGTTCCCCTATTCAGCTCTTTGACTGATCTGGTTAACTTGTATACGGATGCGACAATTTGGATTCCTTTCGGGTACCTCACGGGTAGAAACCGAAGCACATGTCAAAAAAGAATTTCTAATGAGGGCCGCAGAATACCACGCTACTCTGTTAGGTATTACTGAACTCAGGGTCAGCTTACATTGCACCAAACCCTGTGCAGACTGCCAAAAATACCTGGTTACTCCTGTTACAATCCACAGAGGGCGCTGTCTGCTCTCTTCACGGTACATTTCATCCAAACATTGACCGCAGGCCAAGAACAGCGTAATGTAGACTTCTACAACCATGTTCGGCTCTGCATTGTGTTTACATTTGGCAGTCAAATCGAAACGAAACGTTGGCACTTTTCAATTTTTTTCTTCACAGTAGTAGTGAGACTGGATCACACACACACACACACACACACACAGACAATGCGCTTTCGTTGTGCTTGTTGTCGGCATGGAGGGGGGGGCGAGGAGCGGCTTGGCAGTGCCTGACGCCGACAACGTTCAGGGCAGGAGACCAGCACCACGAGGCTCAACTAGTGACTGAGCTGAGGGCAGCAGAGTGTGTTAGTATGCTCCAATATTAGCTACACCCTCGTCATGTTCACAAAAAGCAAAGATATTTTTTTAAAAATGGTACAGCGGTTAACAAAATCTACTCCAAACCCAGTAAGGAGCAGGTTTGGTTGACCATAAATAACTTTTACTGAAACCTGATGATTTGTGTGTAAACACAATGGATGTAAAACAGCCTGTGGCCACTAGAGAGCATTACATCACCT